TTGATGTCTCTTTTAGCACTTTATTTCAATATTACTTGTTCTGCCATTTTTTTCTAATGCCCAAAGGGGGAGAGCAATTGGAAAATAGATTTCTTGTTGTGTATCATAAAAAAAGGAGATTGTTGATTGGGGAAGCTGTATATAGCAAAACCCATATCACATATGTGTTTTTATGATGAACGAATGAAATGTTTTAATGCTTCTTGCACAACAAATGGAAAAACAATTGATTGATCTTTATTGTGTTTGTGCTTGAAATGATTGGTATATGAATTCATTGTATGAAATGAATCATAAGTTGAAACATATTGCACTTTGAATATTTTGAAGTAAAAATCGATTAAATTGCTTATATAATATGTTAAATTTCTTCAGTTTTCAGTACATGCTTAACAAGGGGGAAATAATTATGTTTTAATCAATTACATTAGTTATATAATAGATAAAACACGATGTTATGCCAACATGTGTTTGTTGTGTGAATTGATGTGTATGAAACTTAACCGATTACATAAGTTTCATAATCGGTTAAAGTGTTTATCTTGTGAAAATCATTTTCATTCACTACAAGAAAAAAGTGAATTACATACAGCAAAAATCCGTATATAAGACCTAAAATTCGTATATAATACTTGGTTATATATGGATTACATACGGGAAAAAATCCGTATATAATACTATCGTAGCTAGGTTTATATACGGATAAATCCGTATATAACCTATATACGGAAGTTATATACGGATAAATCCGTATATAACTTATATACGGATATATCCGTATATAATGGTTTAAGAAGAGCTAAATATATACCCTGTATATGGTAGTTCCCCATGCACAATATACAAGCATACCTGGACATTATAGTGAACATTCACAATTGATATAAGCAAACCTGGACATTATATATTGCACATTGACATATAAATCCAACAAGCTTTTCAGATACACTTAATCCATAAAGGAAACATTGTATATGAATACATAAATATTGTTTACATCAATATAACTGCAAGAATAAACATTAGGTAAGTTCATAAACGGATTGTGGTTATGGTTCTAAATAAGTTCAACAGTAATAGAAATAAGTTCTATAAAATGCCTAATAATGCATATAATCATTTCCATCTTGTGGTTGTTCATCTGGTGGTTGCTGGTGTGGTGGTTGTTGTTCTGGAGGTAGCTGTTTTGGTTGGACATCATTGGGTACTTCATTTTGAACTTGAGGATTTTGAAGGTTTAAAAAGTCTTGTGCAGTTGCGGCTGCTGAAGGCGGAAGGAATGGCAGGAGGACGCCAATAAAGCATTCAAACTTTTCAAGCTGCTGACCATATTGTTGTAACTGCGATTTCAGGTTAAAAATTTCTTCTGAATTTTGTTGTTGAGCAGTAGAAGATGCCTATGTCTGTTGGATGTAACTATCAACACAGTCATCTTGGGAAGTGACATTTCCAATGTCATATACGCGTCCCTTGTATTTTCCACCAGCAGCCTCTAACCAACATCGGTTTCTTAATCTTTCCTCCTCCGTAGGGTCTAGAGGAGAAGATGCTGAGACACGAACAGACTCAATCTCAGATCTTATTTGAGAAAATTTTGCAACAAATTGTTCCTGTTAAATGAATAAATATTATCATTAAACATGAGATTTAAAAACCGAAATTTTATAATGTGATAGAGTTAGTACAAACTTACATGGGTCTGCCTAGACGTTTCGTCCACAAATTCCCCTGTTGATTGACGAATATGTGTCTGCTGAAATATTTCATCAACATGCACAGACCGACCAAGCTCCTGTGACTGCAAACAAAATGAGTTGTTAATAAATATTTGTAAAGTTTATGATTACAAATATAAGAAAAAAAATGTACAAGTTACATACCAAACGAATAGCATGCTCGTGCATACTTATAGATCCTCCAGTGTGCAAACAACCACCCCTTTCAGATGTCCGATTCTTCTTTGCCGTTTCACACTTTTGTCTATAAAGTGGCATGTTTCACTTTTCCAAAAGAGCATTCCAAGTATCGTCCCCCAGCCAATCAGGTCTTTTTCCTAGAGTTCTAGCTTTTTTATACATCTCTGAGAGTCTATGAGATGCCTTGGTGTGATAATTTTTTTT